CTGTGTATTAGCATCAACGCTACTGGATTGAAATCTGGGAAATGGTGCTCGATGCCCATCTGGTTGATCATTCTAACAATGAAAAAAAAACAATCATGGCATCAGTTGGTCATTATTTAACCTATTAAGGGCCAGTGCTCTCCCCTTGATGAGTAAAATTGTCTGGCATTAGACAGAGTAACAGGTGAAAGAAAAGCCAAATTCAAGATACACGGCATTGCATGTGGCATGTTTGTAGCTAGCTGGTCATTGCACAACATACAGTTTCCATGTTTTGTAGCACATTTCGTTTCCAGTGATGAAACATGTCAAAAGAGAGACTGGTCCCAAAATTAGTCCCGACCTAATCTTTTTTGAGTGATGATTAATTAGCCTTTATCACACCGCCATTTTTGGGTGGCTTTTCAGCCAAAGTCTGCGAGATATGTCCAAATAACAGCGACTTTTTATAATTTTTTGGACGAATGATGTTAAATTTGCTTTGTAAATGGTTAGTTTATTTTGAAAAATTGCTTTTCACATTGTTTTAATTATCTGCATTGATTAACGAGAATTAGATGCCACCCAAAAATGCGGACATTTGTCATCATGAGAAAGGCTAATTGGGTTCATTTGCATTCATTTGAAAGTTAATTTCAGTTTGTCTGAAGTTTGTGCTATAAATATAAGCTTAATCTATGCAATATTGACCGAAATTTGATACAAATACAGGGCAATAATTTATATACATGCTCACTTGGCAACTGAAAATATACTTCAATATTTAGTACCTAAAATGTCTGCAGTCAAAAATCCTTACAGGTGTTTTAATACTTACAGGTGTTTTAAACACAGAATCATCACCATCAGTAACAACCAGGCCTTGAATTTCAGAATTGAGTCCTTCCATACTACATCTCCCATGAACAACTGTTTTTGGCATCACAGGGATAGGTATGGATGATGAGTGGGCAATAGCTGTATGATCACCAGCAATTGGTGACTGTCTACCATACAGTTGACTATTCTGCTTCGTTCTTTGTCGGTGTTGTCGGAATTTCTGTTTTCAAAAGTTAAAAGCTAGTTGTCTAACTAAAATACTTTAAAGAACATTTAATTCTGTACTAGCTGCCTTTTTGTAAATTTCAGAGTAAAGTTCAAAATTTCACAAATTATGTACCTCCTTGACATCAGGACTTCCCCATGATGCAGACCGTTGATGCTTTGTTTGTTCTACAGTTGTTGTACTACCATTTTCATCCCATGGTGTCTGCAATGAGTTAAATATCTCCAAAATAAGCTTGCCAGGTAGCAGCTATTACAGGTAGCAGCTATAAGCTATATTACAGGTAGCAGCTATTACAGGTAGCAATATATTATTAGAGACATACTAAAAATACATGCATGCAGTCAAACCCCTATATTTTTCAAACATGAAGTATCAGCAAAAGCAGTACTTGTCATGGTCAATTTTTGTCATGATCAATGATTATTTAACTTTTAATTGCAAAATAATCAATTTCCAAAATATATATGTTAGATACGTTATTATGCATATTATACACTGAAAGGTAATGTTCAGCCTTAGACAAAACGTTTTGAAATGTTCATAAAACCATGGGCATATAGGAGAAGGGGGCTGGGAGCTACCCCAAAAATAATGATTGCTGTTAGCTGTGTTAAGCCCTGATTCCACGAGCGCTTTTTGTCAGCGAAATGTGAAATATTTCGCCTGTTTCTTTTGAATTGCGGCTACTACAATAAATTATTTCCACTTGATTGCTCACAATTCAAAAGAAACAGGCGAAATATTTCGCATTTTGCCGAGATAAAGCGCCTGTGGAATCAGGCCTTTACAAAGCTGTACACATTGGCACAAATTGAGGGTGCAAATTTAGGTTGCCAACATATTAATTGCCATATTTTGGTGCGTAAATAATCATATCAAGGCTTTCATAGCCATAAAATCAAGTGTTTAGAAATTGAGAGGTGGCTGTCCCCCCGCTTGCTCCCTCCCCTGATGCCCACTACTGGCTGGGTTGTTGTCAAAAAGATATGCACCCTTACAGTTCCAGACACACCGGACGCAATTCAACAATGCGACGCGATTTTTCGATTTTCATTGACCGATAAATTTGATCCTAGTTTGAATTTTCCAAATATTTTGAAGCACTATAACATTTCGAGTTATTTGGACTACATCTCTTTCAAAATTTGCTCTCGTTGACTGTTTTATTAACTTTCAAAACCTAAAAAATCACATTGTGTTGTCGAATCGTGTCCGGTGTGTCTGGACCTTAAGGAGGAAATCTGTGCTGTCATTGTGTGGAAGACCAGGTTGGAATCTGTGGCTGTTAAGATATATCTGGTGTAACATGTTCTTAATATTTATGGCATAAATCTTACTAATCAAAGAAAAAGGTTTGGCATTTGGATCTTTCTGTTTAACATTATGAAGATTTTTTAATAGTGGAACATTGAAATAACATTAAATTTGGGCATCTCATTTGATATAACTAAATGTAGGTGAGAATTTAGAGATGGAATTTTTGAACAAACATTTTATATACAATTTTAGACCCAATTGAGAGCAGATGTGAAAAATGCAATCTTAACATAATACCTAACACCTTACTATATATAAGGCCAAGTAAACCCGACCCAATTTTTTTTTATTTTTATTTTAAATAAATACCTTAGAAATCTCCTATTCCAAAAGATTTGGTTCACTTTTATATAAATATACCAACATTCACAACCGGCGTTACAATTGTCAGCAGTTGACTAACGCGGGTTATATATTATACCCCAGCGCTAGCCAACTTTTGATTGCTAGAAATCCTCGATATATTAAATATGCTCATATTTTATATCCCTGGAAACGAGGCTGATTTTATATAGGTGCAAATTGCATCTGTCATGTGTGGTGCTCACTGGTGTAACCTCAGGCATATAAACCTCAGGCGTATAAACCTCCGGCATAAAATGTTGATGGATTCCAACCTGGGCTTCTTAATTGTAGTTAGTGTTGTAACTTTACTCCATCACTAACAGGAAAAGTTCCCAAGGCTATTAAAGATGTACAAAATATTAAAGATGTACAAAATATTAAAGATGTACAAATATAAAAGATGGAGAATTCAAGGAACATTAGAACAGCAACTTTTTAACCTCTTACATATATCTCTTACTAGTAAAAGCCTTGTATCAGCAGACGTACGGTGGGCAGACCCTACACTCTAGATACATATACATGGCTAGGTAACTTAAAAAGCTACATATACTGTAGTTTAATATAGATGTGTGTAGACTGTGTACTTAAATAGCAAAAAATTCATATTAAAATATATTTTCCTGTTGTCAGAGAAATATACTTTTCTTGTGATATGTTTTAACTAAGGGACTCTGGTCACTGGATAAAATGTATTTTATAAAAGACGGTATTTCGACCAGAAAACCGCAAAGTCTTAAAAGTTAAAACACTTCAGCTTTGAGAGTAACCTTAAAAGAAAACTAAAATAGATATTTACTTGAGTTTCTTTGCACACCATTGCTGCGGGGAAACCTACTGGTGTTTCACCGCGAGGCCATTGAGAGCTCATATAACTTCCCGATAAAGTATCGAGCGATGAAGTTCTACGAATGACTGGCCCACCAGACTTGGGTCTTTCAACTGAAATGGGAAAAACCATAAGATATTAATTATAGACCCTTATCTGTTCAATAACAACAAACCGTACACTACAAACTTGGCCTGTAGAGCAAAGATGCCAAGCAGTTTTGTGAGAATTTGTTCGCGCAAATATTATAAAAATTATCAAACTAAATCCCCCAAAACCCATATATAAATTGAAGGAAAAGCAGACATATTAAACTAAATACCTTTAGAACCAAATAATAATAAGCTAGGCGAAGTTGGACTTCGACGATTCTCAGGTGAAGTTCGAATTTCAGGTGAGCTTCGTCTTGTCGCCTTGAGAGGGCCTTCGTTGTGAACAGGAGAAGAAGCAGGACTTGGTCGTCTTAAAAACGTTCCTCTTGGGGGACTTGGAGGTCTTTTTGTACTTAACGAGAATGGCATTGTAGCCCTCATTGGTTGGGGCTTGGAGCTGGATGGGGAAGCATTACGTCTTGGTCTTTGGGTGCCTTGCGAAGCCATGTTGTTTCACGACGATTCTGCCAGAATACAATATATAAACCAAGACACACGAATAAATACTTTTTAGCTAAAAACACAGTGTTTCTAAGGATGAAAAGAGGAGACGTCGAACAAAAATACTACAGACAAAAAATACTATTTCTGGACAGTGCAATACAATTATCTGCTTCCTATTTACGGACTTGGCCTAGTATTTACGCGCACACCGACAAGGAATCGAGCCACATGATTGGTTGCTTTGTGGCCGTAATTTTATGCCAGCTGAGGAGATTTTTTAAATTCATCATTTTAATTACCTTCTTTTGGCAAACGCCAAACTGAACTGCGAGCAGAGGTTAACTGGAAACTTAAACGTTTAAGCAAAACAATTCTCATGATTTACTATGAAGGTGTTTCTCGTATTTGGATTGTTAAAAAAATTAATGTATTGTTCTCTGGTCACACGCTAATATTTGTTTCTGCATAAATGAGCGTCCGGTTATTATTCATTAACTGCGTGAAGTAGAGTTCTCGTCATCTGCTCATATATCAATTTTAATAAATATTTAAGCTTCGACCGTTCGACGTACTGAAAAGTCATTTCCTGTATATGTGCCAAGTTACTATTTATCATATAGTACCCCGGCATAAAATATGATCCGGTATTTTTTTGTTCTCTATTTGATCTATGCACGAGTTAGCCCGTAGGGCAAGTTTCTCTAATTTGCATATTTCAAATTCAAAGGTTTGATTAAAATTTTAAGCTCAGGCATATATGTTATAGTGAAGTCGATTCATTGAATGAAAAACAACTCAGCAGGATTGTCACTGCAGCTATCTTTCATTTTGAAAATTAAAACATTAAATTTTTATTTTTCTATTTCGCAGTTTAATAATGCTGTACAGAGCAGGGATCGATATGAAAAGATTTCTTATCTCTGATAAAGCTTAAGAACTCAGCATGTTCTCAAAAAGGAGCGTCGTTCGTCACGCACATATTCCGTCCACATAAATTGGATAAAACGGAGGCCTGGTTGGTAAGCCCAGGCTTCTCAGTTCACTGGGCAGCTCCTCCGTTTAGGTTAATTAATTAATTGTATTTTTTTTTTTTGTGTGTGTGTTGGTGTAGTGTACTCAGGTGAATATGATATTTGTGGTGTTACTCTGAGTGTATATCCACACCGGGCGAGCTTGAAAAATATGCCAGGCCACGGTGGGATTCGAACCTACGACCTTTGGAATACTAGCCCAATGCTCTTCCTTTTTTTACACAAAAAAAAAATTCATATTGCTAGAATACATTGGTATTGAAGGAACTAGATACTGTTCCGAAATATCACTTACTCGAACCGTCCTGACCGCGTAGCTCAGTTGGAAGAGCATTGGGCTAGTATTCCAAAGGTCGTAGGTTCGAATCCCACCGTGGCCTGGCATATTTTTCAAGCTCGCCCGGTGTGGATATACACTCAGAGTAACACCACAAATATAATTAATTGTACTTTGTACATCTTAGGACAAATCTCGGAGTTAATCTGTGGAGGAGAAAGAGGAAAAAGTTATTTCGCTGGCCTCAGAATGACATTTCGTCAAAATTTTTTTCTTCATGATTGGTTTAGAAACAAACTTGGGGTAAGGTTAGGTTAGAGTTAGGATTATGGTTAGGGTTAGGGTTAGAGTTGGTGTTTGGAATAGGGTTAGTGTTAGTAAAACCGTTGCTTTGTTACGTTTTGTCACTCTGAGGCCAGCGAAATAACCTCTTCCGGAGAAAGAGGCCCAGTCCCGTTCCATGAAACAGGAATTCGCCAATTCGTCCGGTTCAATTCCAAATTCCATGTTCCATCATCCATTCGTCCGCGGTTCCAAATTCCATCGCGAAAATTCGTGTATCCCTTCGTCTTTTCCGCTTCAAGGAGACTCACTGTGCAAAATTAGTACCGTATTAGATGAGGTAATAAGTTCACATGAGGAATGTTCTAGTTACATCGATATCTTGCCTTTTGTCAATATTTATACAAAACAGATGTTGCCGGATAGCTTGAGCTTTGGAGGATTTTATCCTCCAGGCATGACTACTATAGGTATTATTTCACATGATTTAATTAATATCATAAAAATCGGGAGACCCGCACTGTGTTAAAGTTGTATTTACTAAGAAAAATTTGAAATCGTGCTTGTCAACTGTATGAAACAATTTTTGCTTGTAGTTACGTAAAAGTGCTGAGTAAACATGTGATTTATGATTGCTCACAAATCACAATGACACAAAGTTTCCGACGTATTTTAGCCTAGTCAATTTTAATTATACTCGCAGAATCTCTTAGACTTGGCCAAATACTCGCTCGTTCTTGTCGTATAATTCGACGGCATATAATCCACCTCATAAATCATAATCCATCTTGGATAAATGCAAACAAATGATCATGTCATATTTACTGACACATGAGCTCGCGGTCACACACTCTGGGCTAAAGTCGCTCTATTCAAAGTTTGGGTGCGATGTAAGGGCAAGTGTATCATCACTAGTGTGAAGTCGCTCATTTGGCGTAGAGTCATATATTTAACCAGTTAATCTTGAACCAATAGTCATATTCATATCCAGTCATAAATCTTTGATAAATGTTTAAAATTAATGAAAAAAATATACGTGCTTTTTGCGCTTTAAAAATTGTGGTGGGGATTTTTTCCACTGAAGAAAAATTTCCACGGACCCTGAAAATTTTCCTAAAATATCATTGTTAATTAAAAGTTTAAAATTTTCAACCTCAAAACTTTTTCCGACGGAAAATTTGTGTCGGCCAATCACATTTTACAAAATTTTCTTTCTGCGGAAAATTTTCCTGAGTGGAAATGGGCCTTAAGACTTGGTTCAAGTCCGTTTTTTGACCGCTCGCGTGCATCGCTATTTTCAACCCCTTGAGAGACGAACTTGAACCAAGTCCAACTTTACCTGTACATGCAAGATTTAAATCATGTAACCTAAGAATTAAGAAACGACTAAAAACCGAAGAAACCGTTTTTCCGGTATTGCAGGTTTCGTCAGAAACGTTCGCCTCAAAGTGAATTTCCCCATACATACATACATACATACACTTTATTTCAACACGGAAGAATCATCAGTACAAGAATAAAATACACAAATTTAAATATGTACAATGTTAGTCAAAAGATAAAAATAATAATTACTGTTTTACATGATTGCCGTGCAAGAGTCCATATACTCAGTATACTATAGGAAGTTAGTCAATTCGAGTGTCCGGTAAGGTGCTGCATTCATGATGTAATGTTATTTTTAATAACTACTTTTAAAGGCAGATTTTTTGAAATATTTTATTGAAAAATGAAATATAATATATAATATGGACTACTATAATCTTATAGAACTGCAACATAGGCAATAGGCTTAAGGGCAACCTCGTACGAGGTTGGCTTAAGGGCATAGAGGATGCCTCAAATGTCAATGCAATCTTAATCGGTTAATAATGTTTCTTTCAATTGTTCATTCAAGTTCGCATTACCTTGCCTATAATGTGGTCTTATTTTATGTCGAGATTTTTTATAAATATCCTGATAAGTATCTCAGTTTATTAAAATTCACTTCCTGAATATGTTTCTGACATATCTGACTATACATAGTGATGCTATCGACAATATGAAGTCTTTAAAGTGTCAAGATAAGACGTCTTTATCGTCAAACATGCCTTCATGATAAATATTTTCCGCGTGGTTATCAGCATCACTACATGGGTACGTGTCTAATTTCGCTGTTCGGTACACGTCGACAGGCTACAATCACTTTCAGAAGTTGTTGGGACACATGTAGTTTTAGATTGCAAGAGGATCATTACAGTTTTTTACGTACACAGAATGCCGCTCCCATCCCCCTCCCCCCACCGCAATCAATGTTGCTCCAACCAAAACACATCAAACCTGACGAGAAATGGGACACAACATTGAACAGAGGGCGGGGGATTGACGTTTTGTTGAAATTCAAAGGTTTTGTGGCATCTGTCCCAAGACTTTTGAAACTGATTGTAGCTTGAAGAAAGTTGTGCATGTGCTGCATCTTAATAAGAACAAGTTGTAAACAATGTTGTTACAGCATTAATATTGTTACAACTAAACGATGCTGTAACAACAATGTGGACAAAACTTCGGTTGGTTGAAATAAACAACTTGTTCTTAGGGTGTAGCAAGTGCAGTATACCTTGTTCAAGCTTGTCGATATCAACAGGGAATAGTCGGAACATCGTTTTTACGCGTGTAGGATCAGAGATTCAGCGGAGTTACGATTCAGTCAGATATATGATGCATGATGGGAACGACGACAAAAATTTGACAAAATCTGAAATTTCAGTCTCTTCAAACCTTACCTTATTCAGAGACTCTGCATGAGAAAGGGAACTGAATTTCTAGTTTGGAAACGGGAAGTGATGACGGCAAGGTCAGGGTTTTGAATTAAAACCAATTATCAATTTTAATAAATCACTCTAAATGGCAGGTCGCAAGTTTGGACAGCGTGCCAGTTCGTGCATGGAGTTCACGTGCACCATATCACTCACCAAACTTAGCGTCAAGGAGAGTACCAAAGTAAAAGTTGAATCCAGCTTAACAGTTAAGCTGAGTAAGCTCGCAGTTTTGTACTGTGCGTCATACTCTGGGATTCCGGACACGTTGAGTATTCGGCATTCATTCACATACAAAATATTATTACGTGACGACACAAAATTTGCAAAGCTGCCATGCCTGAAATGTGGCATCTTTACACGCATTTATTCGAGTGCATACGCCAGGATAAGAATCATTGGGCGTTTATATACATTTATTTTGAGAATAATGGTGACCTCAGCAATTTTTTGAAACTACGAGTCAGTCGGATCATAGTAGACTTGCCCACAAGTCGATCTCGAATAGGATCATAGTAATGGCACAGAATGAACATGGAGTAATGGTCAGATACAGTGATTGAAGTGATACATTGGCCAAAACGGCAAAAGTCTCTGTCCGGCACATTATAAAGTAAAAAGAGCCAAAGACATATTTATAAACAGACTAAAAATAGGTTTGGATTTTGCATGAGATATACTGTACGCCTGTACGTTCCAGTCGCATTAAAAAATCGCATTTTGAGATCAGTCAGTCACGGTCAAACAACGAAATTCGAAAATTATTTAAATACACATTTAGTATCTCATGTCAATATCCCATGCTGAGTGTCAGATGTGTTCGCTATCTATGCGAAATACAGCTGCTTTTTGCTTTCCTGATTGGGCAGTGAATTCTTCTTAGTGTAGTTTACGATCACTTCCGGTTGTGTCACCAGGCAAAAACCACTGAGGCACGCAGTTACAACAAATAATTTCATTGATGAGTTTTTGGCCATTTGGCATGCGGTATGGTGTGAGGGCTCACGAGGTCAACCGAAGATGACTGTTGTAAATTATATTAAATCGTCAAGAATTGTGAATCCAGCTTATATAAATCCATAATTCCTTTAATTTTCCCCATTGAATAAATGATTGTGTCATGTATTGGGCGATGACAATTGGTCAATTGATTCCAAGTGATTCTTATACTTAAAAAGTTAAAATTAACGTGCTTGTAAAATAATAGCGAGTTGAGGCAACAACAGCTGCAATATCAGCTTAATATATAACCTTGATATTTTCAGATTCAACTAAGTTTTCATTTTCAACTCATTCACTCGGCAATGCCAATGGATCGGAGAACTACATAAAATATATACTAAGTCTTGGGTTCTAAAGGGCTTTAATTAAGCAATAAATAATTAAATTGCAAATAACGTCAAAGCATATAAAAACATAGAAGAATGATAATAGAAGCAGCGTGCGTACCGAGTGAAGGGTCAGTGGTCAGTGTCAGTGACGTTAAACTCCCATGATGTGATAGCATGACGTCACAATTAGGAGTTAAAACATTATCAAGCCTGAATTTGCAGTCGGTAAAAACATGGGCATATAAATGATCTAGTATGCAAGGGCCTTTAACACATTAAGCGCCAGCTAGGCTGCCAGCGCTCTCCCCATGACGAGTAAAATCGTCTGGCGTTAGACAGAGGAAGTAGAGTGCATTAATAGGGAGCAATGCAACTTAGGCCTTTCTTCTACTCAGAATGGTCTTCGTTTAGGACAGCCCACCTCTCTCTTGAAACTAAAGCTACATTCAGAGCGGTCTAGCTCAGCTTTGCAACGCATATCAATCCTCTTGCCATTAAGATATCAATCTGTAGATAATTTGTTGACATCAATTATTACCTCCGCCATGAGGCAGGTTAGGTTTTCTTCCGCGTTATAAATTTGCGTGTATGTACAATAGTACAATACACTAACGTATTAATTTAATACAAACATTTGTAGGACTAAATGGACATTGCCCAAGCCCAAGGACAAATTGATTAAATTTTGGTTAAATTTGGATGAAAATTGGATGAGAAATTAGCAAAAATCTGTCTTGTATAATTTATGCATGATACACAACTTAATTCGCTGGCGGACGAATGCAGTCTCTGAATCTCCTGTATAGTTCAGTATGCTTTACCAGTAGTCACTTAGAAGCATAGGTCGCCCAACAATCAGTGGTATTAATCCATTTCTGTTCAATAAAATCATACTACTACTCAGTCCCCGACTGCATTGTTTACGCGCGGTCAGATCATGTACGCCCCCTATAGTAATATATGCATATATTACTTTAGCATATATTAGCACATATTACTATAGGAATACGTACATGATCTGACCGCGCATAAACAATGCAGTCCGGGACAATAGTATGATTTTATTGAACAGAAATGAATTAATACCACTGATTGTTGGCCTACCTATGCTTGAAGTTGAAGCGTCTCAGCAAGCTGCCCTTTTAAAGAACAACACAAATTAATTAAACGGTACGTCATAGGACTACTCTTAACACTTCTTTGTTGCAGCCAAGAAGGAATGCGGGAGATTTCTTCAAACTGTCTTCATGCGGTGGGGAGATAAGCATGTCTCCAAAATGCGGGAGTCTCCGTCCAATGTGGGACGGTCTGCATGGGGTGTAATATATAAAGAATGGGTATATGCTATTATTCATGATCAGTTTATTTTCACTCTTGATATATCTTTCACTACCTAGTCTACCTGATAATCTTCTATACCTAACCTGACTACTTCCATTAAGATATGTATTATTTCGAAGTGATCATTGACATTGTAATATATTAAACTTCAGGCTTCACACTGTTCACAGGCTACTGAGTGTCTTAATATTATAGAATGTATATCCTTATGCCCCAGACAGTCAAACGAGAACAACAGTTGTATAGAGTTGATGAGAGTTGACTAGACTAGGTTTATTACCACGCGCGTTTGTGAAACTTTTCAGTAAGCCCGGAAATTCAACTAATATTTGGCATTCTTAGCTTGCATTCCCTTTTAACTTCCACGTTTGCGCCTGTCAATGCTGTTATAATTTACCTGAAAATCAGCTTAGTTTACCTAGAAATTCACTTGAAATTGTATAACTGGTGAATGGAAAGTTGAAATTTCAATCTGCATTTTATCGATCAACGTCGGTGCCTGGTCATGCACAGCGCTACACCAAAATTGCAGGAGAGCCTGGAGAGGAGATGCCTAAAATGAAGAGTATGATATGTACCTTCGCCCACCTAAATGTACAGGCCAATGGCAATGTTATGCAGTCTCCCTAGTGATGTACTAGATTAAGCTATGCTTAAGTTCGCTAATGGCGATAATTTGGTACTGAAGCAATATGGCCTCGGTAACGACCTCCTTGCAGGGACGTAGCGACCGGGAATGTTATGTAAGCCCTCTTGAATAGGGACGGAAATTCAAAGCCCTTGAATTTCCGACAAAATCTTCTGTCCTGAATAATCGACAAAACGTAGCTTTTTTCAGGTTGAAATATATTTCCGACAAATTGTCGATTTTGGATTGTCGAGTATGTTCGAGTATGTGCAGTGTAACATTGTATATATTGTAAATAAAAACTTTTCTAAATAAAATATATTTGTAAATAAACTCATTTCTGACTAAACACTTGTTAGTTTGGGACTAAATTTGAACCACGAGGACCACGCTTCCTGCAGCTCTTTCTGATGTGATTTTTGCCGGTATAATGTTTCGAATATTAAGCTATGCATTCTTATGAACACTAAAGTCACTAAAGCTAGCCTGCGCGGCAGGCGGTACACTAAAGCATGCCTCCACTGCCCACTGGCCCCCGTAAGTAAAGCGCGGTTCCGGCCTCCCTAAGAAAATTTGAACCTACTGGATATAACCGGAGTACCACGCCCTTTTCCCTTCCTTTGGCTGTTTCACCACTAGACGGTCTTTCCATTTCTCGGATTCATATTAAAAGACGGAAAGCATTTCTGAATTCTCAATCTGATTTGACTGAGGAATGTAATTTCTTATGTTATATTGGTAGGATTATTATAGATTAAAATTCGAAAACCTAAATTGAAGGCCATATCTGTGATTAGACATGAGAAGGAAAGTAGACTTACGTAAAGTATTATCGCGCGTGGAAGACCAAAGACAACACAATCGATTTGACATTGACAGAAGTTCCGGGGAAATGCTACAGATATTCTGGGGAAATGTTCTGTCGTTGGGTTGAATTTCTGATGGTTTTGATCTTATTGATAACCAGAAAGTTAAAATGAGAAAGAAGAGATATCCAAAAACTTTATTGAGCATTTTATTGAAGGTTATTTCATCTGATTTAAACTCCATTGCAAAAGATAGTTGTTGCCATGAATGTTCCGTTCGCGAAACATAAGGATATAACCAAATCTTATAACAAGGATCGTTTCGAGTGGATGATTATAGGACGTGATTATTACAGGGCGTAATAAGAAACATAAAATAGAACAAAGGTAGCTAAGCTTTAGAATTGTCTACATGAGTGAATGACTCTTATTGTACATAATTCTAATGCTTAGTTATCTGAGTTCTATTTTATGCCTCTGTAAACTGGAACAATCGTAATTAGGCATGTGAGTTATCTAAAGTTGTATATTGGGTAGCAACGATGTAAACAATAACGTATTTGTCTATTGATATTATGTAGGAAGAAAAAATTTAAAGCTATAAAGTATAATTTTTACAACATAAATTAAAGCATACACTACATATCATACACTATATTGTAATGTTAAGGGGCGGATCATTTGATTTTTTTTGGGGGGGGGGGCGGGTTGAAAGATTTCGAAAAAACATTTCCTGCAATCCAAAGAGAAAGAAAAAAAAATCATGCAGGATACAATCGAGAAAAAAAATATCATGCAAAAGAGAGTGCTCAAAAAAAAATTCCTACATGTAAATCTACTGACGTTTTTCACTTCAGTATTGTGTCCTGCACAGGCTTGCAAGATTTTGCGTTTTTGAGCAGGCACATTTGCTTAAAAGAACACGGGGTGAACAGTGGACAACATCACAGGGATTCTACCGCCTTTGGAGTCTATAACATACAATAGCCAGTGGCGTTCCCTGGCAAAATTGTTGCCCCCCCCCCCTGAGAAAATCTGGGCTTAAGATATGTACAAGTTTATAAGTTATTTATACATATCTACTATGCATGATAGAAAAAGTATTTTTGAATGGTTGAGTCTGTGTGCGTTTTTTGATAACATAGCTCCAAACTATTAAAGCTTCAAAGGCCCATCAACAGGATGCAAGTTGAACGTACTGTATATACGATGATTTTAATGCGAAAATGCCAGTTTAGAGAGTCTAGACTTTAAAAAATTTCTGAAGAGGATGCAACCTGATCCACAAGAAGCTATCTGTATGAACGATTGAAAAGCTACAGAGCTATATTTGGTGGAACATTGTTGTTTCGGATGGCAGTTAAAAATCGCATTACTGAAAGGCCTGAAATCTTGTTTTATTACATATTAATCAAAGCTCATTTTGTGATTTTCCCTTGTTTAAAATAAAGGACAGTAAGTGTTCCTTAGGCTTAGTACAGCAAAGTTGTTGCACGAATCCATGGCTGAAAACGCAGGAAATAGCATTTCCGAGGTTCAAATTTTAAAATTTTCTCGGGGGAGCATGCCCCCGAACCCCCAAGGTTACAGGTCATTCATATAATGTACCTCCCCCATTTTCGAGTACTCTACTCTATCCCTGCATGTTTTAGGTTTTGGTGCAGTTATACATTTTTTGTAATAAACCTGCACGTTTTAGTGTGGGGAACATTAAGACATAACCATATAAAATAAAGCACAGTGAAAATTCCTTGGCCCCTCTTGGGATTCAGTTCTCGACCTCCTTTGATTGAAAACCCCGGCTACGTCTCTGACGATAGCTATATGAAAGCCTTAAGTTACTGCCAGCCGTTATTATTAGACGCAAAAAAAATATCCTGCCGCCAAATATATTGGGAAAAAAATATCTTGCGCTGCACTTTTACAGGAAAAAATATCTGTCTTGTTCCCCTGGGCGGAAAAAATTCTTGCACAGTCTGAATCTTCCAATCCCCCCTCCCCCTCCCCTCAAAAATCAAATGGTCCGCCCCTAATGATTATAATGTTAATGTTACATTCCCAAGTTACTGTAGGACATTATGATAACGAGTTTTACGAAAATTTGTATTTAGTTCACTGGACTATTGACCTGACAAAAGAGGGACGAAAGTTGGTTATTTCTTCTGCCAATATACCTTTAATATGCATAATGACGTCACAAGGCTTGATGCCGCGAGGAATGCTGGTCTTTGTAGTCATTGCCCGGAAAATTTTGATAGTGGGCATTTTGAATTGTTTAATTTTCCCGGGCGATGATTACTAAGACCAGCGTTCGTAGCGGGCATCAAGCCTTGTGACCAGGGGCGCCGGAGCCACGGGGGCAGCTGCCCCCGTTGCCTAAACAGTGCGGGGGCAGCACGGGGGCAGCAGGTTGCCTATTTTACAAGAACTGCACTTCGAACGTCGTGCGTTTTTCACATGAATTGAGATTGAAAACTGTTTTTAAACAATTTAACTCATATACATATTTGAATCTGAATTCCTCTCAGAAACGTTACCAATCAGTTTCCACCTATGAAAAAAAGTGAAAAAGAAAGCCTTCCTAAATAACTGACAACTGCCATGTTGCTTTACAATACATTTTAGTCTTTAGTGTCATGCAACGAATAAAAATGTTCCAATCCATGCCGAAATTTGTCTAACTGTATTAGCTATACAAGTAATGAAGTCTCCGTTATACAGCAAAATGTTAACGAACATTGCCCCCCCCCCC